TCCCCACTGAGAAAATGGATCACCAATGAATGACGCGTCATACTTCTACAGCTGGTCTTTCTCCCACAACCATCCCGTTTTCACGAAAAAAAAAAAAACCTGACCCGTCTCCAAAATCACATTGCTGAGTTCTACTCAACCTCTCCCCACCACAAATCACAATTTCTATCTGAAACAATATGTTCATATGTTTGCTCTGTAATAATGCACGCTGTCATTACTATCTTAAGAGCGACGTCATTTATGAGCGATCTAATATTCTACATACTTCATAATAAATATTTTTAGATGAATTATAAAAATTCCTATGCCTACACACATTACATTACATTTAATTAATCCAAGTTAATTTGCACTCTCTAAATATTTAATACATAAAAGTATTAACAAATATCATGCAAATATATATTTGTGACTTTTTTTCCTGTGACTTTTTTTCCTGTGACTTTTTTTCCTGTGACTTTTTTTCCTGTGACTTTTTTTCCTGTGACTTTTTTTCCTGTGACTTTTTTTCCTGTGACTTTTTTTCTGTTTTTTTTCCTGTGTTTTTTTTCCTGTGACTTTTTTTCCTACAATCATTTTCTAGATACTAAAATAACTTAAAATAAATCTAGATCTAGATTCTAGGCCAAGAGGCTTATTATAAGTTATAGGCATAAGCATATACTTTTTACTAATTATAGGCCTACTAATAATAATATACTTACTTATAGAACTTCATCTAATTAATATATAATAAAATTATTGATAATATTGATAATTGATTCAGGCGTTTGACTTGGAATAAGAATACTTACTTTATTTAGGTAGGCCTAGATATATAATTATTAGAATTTAGACCCTAGCTAGACTCTAGATTTCTAGATCACAGACCCCGCAATATCTAGAAAATCTAGATCTAGAACTTATTGATTTGTAAAAGGCTGTCAGGCCTTACATAATCAAGAGTGCAGCCAGCACACCAATTCTAGCTAGATTTATACTGGCTAATTTTATATTGTAAGATCTAGATTAATTAGATCTAGATTTTAGGCCGTATCTAAAATCTAAACCTAGATTATTCTAGCATGTATATGCTTTTACCAGTGTCTGCCCCCTCCCCAGAAAATTTAGTCCAACCCTACCCTCGAAAATTTCAAGAACCCCCCCCCCCCCCAACCTCTCCAGGGAGGATATAGTCTGAAAAAAAACTGGTTACATTTGTATATCATACATACTAAAAGACTAAAGGAAGACCCTACTTCTATAACATAGACCCGATTACTACTTTTGGCAGCTAAACCTCAATCATGGAGGTTTCTTTGTCTTTTTCTCTCCAGGTGCGGATTAAATAACAAATGTAAAATTTTCTATAGAGATGCCTGAAAGAAACTAGGCACGCAAACCAATTCTAATATTAGACAGTGTCTTTATTATAAGTATTATATCAAAATTGTAGATCCGTATCAACTTTTGAGTAATTTCCGATAACCGGAAGTGGAACTTTTTCTTTCAATTTTTCAAAAGCCTATAACTTGAGTACTATTTCAGATAGATAAATGAAATTTCACTTGTAAGTAAAAGATCTAATTCTCTGTCTTCTTTCAAATTTTGAGTAATTTCCGTTGACCGTAAGTAGTAATTTTCGCTACTCCGATTTCTCAAAAAATGCATGTAAATTTATAAAGTACTAATAATATTCCACACTATTATACACATTTTGCTTTGTGTTTACTTGGCGTGCAATTTTTTTTTCTACTAGATTCTATTTTAAAAAGTTAAAGTAATTAAAAAGGATTAAAAATCTTTTCTATATCCCGTTGTTTTATATAAGAATTTTCTAGAAAGTTTAGGGGAGATCACTCCCGGTTTATTATTTTAACAATGTGAATAACTACAAGTTTATAGTCGCTTACTAAGTTGAATCAAGTGGGTTGGCCGGTGTCCTGGAAGTTTCTGATTTGGCTCACCGGGCCGGGCACTATGCGTTTATGTTTGCATTAAAGTTGTGTATTACGTTTGCGTTTTTGTTTGTAATTTTTGTATTTGCATTGTTTTTGTGTTTGTGTTTGCATTGTGTTTGTGTTTAGTTTTGTTTTTGTTTAAAAAGATACACCGTTGCCGAGCACAGTATGCAGCTAGTATTAATATTTATATATATACATGTATACGTACACATATACATATACAAATAGATATACATTATATGAGAAACAATTTTGAACACCCCCTCCCCCTATACCAGTTCCTTAATAGACCACTGTTCAATTGATATATTTATAATTATTCATCACACATAAGCTACAGTTTCCACTGGACTTGACATAAAAGAAACAATTGGTTGATGTCCAACAGATTCTAGCACAGTGTAGACTTGTAGAACCACAAACTGTAGACCCAAAAATGATGTGATGTTTTCTCACTTAGTAAACCCCGTCGTTGTTGATTGTATTCACACAACTGAAATAGTCCATTACAATTTTCGTGATTATTATACATCAAAATTATTGAAAATTATATTTTATAATTTAGAAAAGCCCTAGAGAGAATAGCCCAAAAAACTTTAAAAATAATAAAGTTACTTTGATAGAAATCAAAGATGAATTCAAACCTGTAGAAATATACCTTTTAAAAGATAAATAAATATTAAATATGAAATCTGCATGATATAAAATTCCAGTCCTTATAAATATATCTTTATCCATAGATTTTCCTTCACAGTGTTAAAATCTTGAGGAATTAATAAATAAAAACCGCGATCAATTAAAAAAATTTCATTATCCAATCGACTATCAATTATTTTTAATTTATAGACTATTAATTGTTACTTACTAAACTATTTATAACAACAGAAGTTTTAGTAAGATTACGAATGAACTTAAATAATTATAAGATAGATTTTAGTAGATAGACAAAATGATGTGTACTAGTCTGTAATATAAGCTAAAATAATTATAAGATAGATTTTAGTAGATAGACAAAATGATGTGTACTAGTCTGTAATATAAGCGGCCAAGTAGTGTGTCAGTCAGTCATTGCTATTGATTCTAGAACCATAAAAGTAAACATGAACACATGCTGTGCATTTAACTTCCAGTGCATTTAACTTCCAGTGCATTGCCTTTATAAGTACCCGATAAGGGTTTATTTTTATAACAACTTAAATTTTTTTTATAATTGCCACAGTTTTTACACTTTCGCATAAGGTGAAGAAAATGTTAAATACACGAGCATTGCTAAAATGTTTTAATCGGATCAATGTCAAATAATAAAAACTGATCAATGTCGAATAAAATTTTGGCTTAGATTCCTAGAAAAAATAGATACATTAAAAAAAAAAAAAAAAAAACTTAATTAAAATGTTCAATAATTATGCCATGGGAGGTAATAAAAAAATTAGTTCAACTCACACTAATAAAAAAATGCGAATGCAAATTCTGCGGATGTCCAAGAGAGCATTATTTTTGGAATATTATAATTAGCAAGTGCAATATGGTAGGTAAAACACTGATATTTTAAATACATCTTATTTTTTTATTCGATGAACGTACTGTTTACTAATTTTTTTTTTTTGATCAATAATAGTTTAGAAGCTGCTCCTAAATGTCCTCTATGATTACTTCTATCTTTCGTTTTGCGGACCAGCTGGTTTTTAGCTGCTCACTAAATTAGGTGTGTATGCTGGTGCCCTGGCAGGGTTCGATTTGGCGTGCTGGGCTATCCTATGAGCGCTATAGTGCATACTTTCTTTTTAAATAAGCTGTGGGTAAAAAGGGTTACTTTTTCTTCTTCTTCTTCGTTCTTAATTATTAGTGTTGAAGGGGGTTTGAACTACAAACTTTGTTCGAATTTATCAACCATGAGCTTTTTGCCGACTCGACCGCGCCTCCAACACAATTAAGCATTACGTGCCAACTGGTTATGCGCCATTGAGGCCATTGACTCCGATTTCAGCCTGCTTTTCTTTTTGGATTTGCTTCCATAGCCTTTGTCCAACCAAGAACAAACTACAAGGCAACAGTTGTTTGATTTTGGAGTTGTCTCTCCTAGAAGAGTGGCTGTCCCAAGCTAACGAGCCTCATCTGCCCGAAAAAAGGGTTACTTAATTCGTTCACTAAATCAAAACCAGGGCATCCTACAGCGCCCCGGGTCTTCCAGTGAGTGCTATGGGACTACATTAGTTTTAAACAGTGCGATAGGCTATGGAAAAGAAGGGTTGCTAAAGTCGTTCACTGAATCGAATCCAGAAGAGAGCTATTTGGCGCCCCGGGCCTCCCTGTGAGCACTATGACATCTATGTTCGGTTTAGTGTGTTCAATAGACTATGGGCAAGATGGGATATTATATTCAGGCGGTTTCGCCGGCGCTCCCGTGCTAGACTGTGAGCATTATGCATTTATGGTTGCAATTAAGTTGTGTTTATGTTATGCTGTATTGTTTGCGATTAGGTTTGTTTGCGTGTTGCATTTTTTGTGTTTACGTTTGTAGTTTTTTGCATTTGTGTTTGCATTGTGTTTGTGTTTGCATTTTCGTTTGCGTTTGTGTTTTATTTTAGGTTTAGTTAAGTTCTATTCCATAGTTGGTATATTTAAAAAGATTTACCATGGCGGAGCACGGTCATGCAGCTTGTCTTTAATATAAGCTTCCAGGTAGTGTGTCAGTCCGTCCTTCTGTCATAGCTATAGATTTTGAAACCATAAAAGTAAACACTGCATGCAGTGATTTTACTGGTAGGGTCTACTTATGTAAAGACTTTAATTTTTTGAGAGTTGACAAAGCTTTATTCTTTTGCATACTTCAACAAAAGAATGTGAAGAAAATATTAAATACCTGCACAATGGTAAAACATATTAAACATATTAATGTCAAATAATATTTTTGCTTATATTCCTAAAAAAGGGATTAATTTTAATAATAGTAGTGTCAAACAAGACTGTTTAATAAAAATGTTTAATAATTATGCCAGGGGAGGTAATTATTTAACTATGACTGATAACTTCCTTATTTTTTTCATTTTGCAGATAACAGATGACAAAAGTCCAAGAAAAATGAGTAACAAATCTCCACAAAAACCACCCCCTAAAGCTTCTGGTAAAACAGTTACATGCAATGTGTATTTACTAGATGGAGAAAACAAAGAATTTTCTATTGATGTATGTTTATAAATAATTGCAGCTCATTTAAATATAACTGAGTACTTAAATGTGCTATGATAACAATATATGGTTTGTGAAACTTGCCACTGACATGCCTACCGTCCCACCTAAAGTGTGTCCTGTTTTACCATACTGTTTTTGTTAAGTTTATCTTCCTTTTAAAAAAATAAGTGAAGTGAACACATAGAATTAATTTATAAAACTAATAAATAAATAGAGCAGTGAAAAACAATATGACTATTTTCCTTTGCCACGTTTCCATTTTCTTGTGTACTTACAATTGATAAAATATATAGAGGCCTAATGTAGAGAAATTAGCTGCTGAACATAGATTAAGCTTCTTTAATATCGACCGCAATATTTTCTTGTAGAATTAGAAATAAATGTTCTTTGTGGCATTTGCAGATTTAAATTATGCATTAAATGTAATGTATGGAGGAAAATACCATAAAATTGTGACTAACATGCCAATTTCTAGATCTAGAATATCTAACAGCTAACTTAGTAACTAGGTCGGCTTGTCCTTAAGTTGTTAAAAATTACTAGTGCATAGCAAGGTATGGATCATCAAAAATCTATGATAGCATAAACAACTGTTAAATCTATTCAATGTTTAAAGTATATTTTATTGGGGGGGGGGGGGGTTGGAGGAGGGGGTCTGGTTAGCCTACGTTTAAAAAAAAATGTAAGCTGACATTAAGCACTATTTTGATTATTTATTTTTGGCTTAGAAAAGTAGCAATCAAATAACTGACTGTATATTCCTCTTTTTGCCTTCAAGTTTCTCTTTTTTGGTATGACTATTGTTTGGTCGCCAGGGGTAGGCATGTCTGATGCTATGTACTTTGCACAAAACTTTCATAGCTTAACCTCTAAATAAAAGAGCATTGATTCTATATTTCCTAAATTCAAAATTTCAAAACAAGTTTTCTCCTATAGCCCCTATATATATATTACACATTTGAACATGAATATATTTTTTAGAAAAATGATGTTGGCCGGGCTCTGTTTGACACAGTTTGTACACATCTTGATCTAATTGAAAGAGATTATTTTGGACTTACCTATACAGATGATAGAGGCCCAACACATCTTAAGGTAACTATTTTTTTTCCATATAATAAGGTCTGTGAAAAAAAAAGCATCTTTTAGTTTAACCAAGAGGTAAGTGAATGTTACCTCCAGAGGTGCCACTTTTCCCGGTTATCTATGAAACTTGATTTGAGAATCCCAATTTGTTTTAACTTTTAGAATTTGCTAAATTTGATTTTCATTTAATTTCTTGTATACAAGTATAGAGGAAGTATTGTAATCTTGCAAAATATGGAAATTGAGATTTTTATAAATCTTGGCGTTTTACGTCTCCCTGAGTCACAAAAACATAACTTTGCATTTTTTTCTGTGTGTTTATGTGTGTGTGGATATGTGTCTGTGAACACAATAACTTAATTATCATTACAGCTAGATGGATGAAATTTCATATATCAGTATTATATCAAATTTGTAGCTCTATATCAACTTTTCAGCGATTTCCTTTAACAGGAAGTGCAACTTATTCTACTTTTGGGTTTCAAAACTATAACTTAAGTATTGTTTCAGATAGATAGATGAAATTTTACTTAGATCTAATTCTCTGCCTTCTGTCAAATTTTGAGTCATTTCCTTTTACTGGAAATATTACTTGACGCTATTTCCGATTTATCAAAAAAACATTTATATATTATATAAGCGGCCAGGTAGTGTGCCAGTCAGTCATCGCTCTAGAATCTAGAAACAAAAAATTAAACAACACATGCCGTTCATTTTACTTGGATTGCATTGTCTTATTATGAGGTATGAAGTGGTGTCTATTTATGTAATGATAGTCGTCAAAGTTTTTACGCTTTTGCTTACGTCAACAAAAGAATGCGGAGAAAATAATACACACACATTGCTAAAACATTAATTGGATCAATGTCAAATAAATTTTCGCTTAGAAAAGATGGATACATTTAGAGAATGTGCGATAGGCTCTCTCAAAGCATGGACGTCTGTGAAAGCGTAATTTGATAGTGTTTGCGTTTGTGTGTGCGGGTTGCATTGTGTTTGTATTTGGTTTTTTTCTGTTCCCAAGTTGGTACATTTAAAAAAGATTCACCGTGGCGAAGCATGGGTATGCAGCTAGTGAATTTATAAAGTACTAATATTCCATCGTATTGTACATACGTTTGCTGTTCACTTGGTGCGCTATTCTTTTTCCTTTGAGATTCTATTCTCATGTCTATATCTAGAGTTGCCTTGCCACGTAGTGTTATATTATAATATAAGTGTACTAGCTGTCCAGGACAGGCTCTGCACTGGCCTCTATATAATTATAAAAGTTCTAGCTATAAAGAACAGTGACTTGTGTGTTTTTTAAGTAGCATTGCACGGGTATAGGAACTATTAATATTTTGATTAAATGACTGTATGCAAATATAGATGCATAACCCTGAACCTAACTAACTGTAAACTTAATCCTAACCACAACCACCACAACAAAAACACAAACGTAAACGCTAACACAAATGCAGACGCAAAAACAGACGTAAACGTAATGCAAATATCAATGCAAACATAAAACATAAACACAAATGCACAACACAAACGGAAACAGAAAAGGAAACACAGATACAAACACAAAGAAAAACACAAACATCAAAACAAACTTTTAATAAAGCGCTTATTTATTATTCTGTAATTCACATTTGCATTTGGTACAAAGGGATGTAATTTGTATACTTTTTTAAAACAAAAGTGGAATTTTTGTAAAGGGTAGTACAGTTTTTTTTCCCACTGTATGTTAATCAAAATTATAAGTTGAGAAATAAATATCTAGTTTAAAAGTTATCAATATTGAGTTTTTAATTATCAGTTTCGATTTTATTTCAAAAGCAACACTTAAAGCTTTAAGAATATTACACCATGGCGATTCAGTCGAGTTTTTTACCATATGCATGTGTTCCATGGTTCCCTTCGAGCATTATATATTATTTGAGAAAGTTTAGGGGAGATCACTCCTACTTCATCTATAATATAAGCGGGCTGAGCGTGTGTCAGTCCTTCCTTCCTTCCTTCCTTCTGTCATCGCTATAGCTTTTGGAACCATAAAAGTAAACATTCGCACCACGCAGTGCTTTTCAGTGCACCGCAGTGTCTTATTATAGGTATTAGAGTAGGGTTTGTTTATATAGTGGCATAGAGCTATTTTATAATTTCCACTGTTTGTACAATTTTGCATAACGTAAAGAAAATAATAAATACACGCACATTGCTAAAACATATTAAAAGGATCAATGTCAAATATTGTTTTCGTTAATATTCCTAGAAAAAGTGAATACATTTTAATAACATAATAACTGTAGGTTAGAAAAATCTAATTAAACTGTTTAGTAATTTTGCCAAGGGAGGTATTTTAAAAATAAATTGAACTCACGCTAAAAATGTGAATGCAGAATCTGCAAGACGGAATAATTGTTGGAATAATATAATTAGAAAAATGTGAATACAAATTATACAGACGTGTAAGAGTACATTATTGTTGGAATATTATAATTAACATTGATTGATAAAAGGCTATCTTTTATTTACTTTATTCACTGAATGTAATGTTTACTACTTATAATTTTTAATCAACTATTAAGCACTATTATAGACGCGTCACCACGTTCATTGTGGGTGCGCAATGGTTTTAGTTATGAAACTCTATTGTAAATTTTTAAAATTCAAAGTACTGGGGAAAAAATGCGTGAATTGATAAAGTGGGTTGGAAAAAAATTGCGGGGGGGGGGGGGGGGGGTGTAAATCGAAAGTTTGAGGGGGTGCAAATCAACAGTTTGAGCGGGGGGAATTTCAAATCGAAAGTTTAAGGGGGTGGGGTGGAAATTGAAATTTTGAGGAGAGGGGGTGCAAATCGTAAGTTTGAGGGGGGGGGGGGGGGGGAAGTCAAATCGAAAGTTTTTCCCCGGGCGCCGGAAAGGGTCGCTGCGCGTCTGTTTTATAGTCATTCACTGTGTCAGAAGCGTCCGGCGGCGCTCGGAAAGGGCGCGATTTGACGCTACGGGCTAGACTGTGAGTAATATGCCTTTATGATTGCATTTAAATTGTGTTTATGTTATGAGTGTTATGTTTTTTTTTTCGTTGTTTTTTTTTTTTTGCGTTCGTTTGTGTTGTGTTTAGTTTTGTTCTGTTCCCAAGTTGGTACATTTTAAAAAGATTTACTGTGGCGGAGCACGGGATGCAGCTAGTTATTTTATAAAGACTCCAGAGCTTTTTGCATATTTATGCATGCGTACAATATCCACTATAAACTGCTAGGCTAGCCTAGTGTAATCAATATAAGCGTGATTTCATTCATTCATTTTGCAGCTACTTTCAATCTCTATACTGTCCCTGGAACTTGCTAAATAGAAAATTTCTCTGAGCAACGTTAAAGTGTCAGGATTAAAAATTTTTGAAAATTTGATATCAGGATTTGTTAAGATCAGGTATTGAATTTCAGCATTCATTAAAAAATGAGTGGCATCCTTTCCTTATAAAAAAAAAAAAAATTCCACTGGAAACTGACAAAATAAATGTCCATTAGTTTTAATTCAGTTACTAAAAGAACATTCATATTTAACCTTGTTAGTGTTTGCTTTAGTAAGATCTCATTGTTGAAACATAAATCCTGTTTGATACACGGGGTTTAAGGGTCATCCATTTGATGAGTCTGTTATTAAGAATAGAAGTAGTTCTAGATTTTAGAGTAGAGCCTATGACACCTAATTAATTCCCATTTAACCTAAGTAATTATTATTTGCTATCTGCCTTTTTTATAAATCAGTACAAGTGTGATTTTTAAAAAAATGCTAAATTGTGATGCCTCCCATTAGATATTAAAAATGTTTATTAAAACATGTGATGTTTGATTTAATTAAAGTAACAAGGAATTATTTTTAAAAATTTTGATAGAGAAGGACACAATTTCTAAAGTCTGCTAAAAAACTCATGGTTAGTATAGTATATTTTAAGCTGCTTTGCAATCAGCTGAGTGCTAAAAACAGGATGCGCTTACTACGCTTTGACACTTTTGCATTCATCTGAAAAATTCAGAACATGTCAAATGTTTTGGCTAAGTGAGCGGAAACAAAAACTTGGTCCAGAACACAATTAGGGGCGTGGTTTTGTGCCCTGTGACTCATAGTATGTTCCATATACCCATAACATGTTTAGTATACATATAAGTAGGTAAAGTCTAGTATACATGTCGTATGTGTAAACATAGTATCTTTTGTGGTTAAAAATTTAAAGATGCTGAATAAGTAATTTGAATCATAACTGTCTTAAATTAAAATGGCTCTCAAATGCAATGCTTTATTTATTAAATTTGTTAAAAATACAATTTAGCTTTGTTTAACAACTGAACATGAATATTTTTAAATTTCATTTTCTTTCAGTATTGGTTAAATTTAGACAAGAAAATATCAAAACAGAAGAAGCGTAAGTTTTTTTTTCTTTTTTATTGAATTTTTTTATAGGTCGGAAAAAGAGGGTTATTTAAATTAGTGAGAATGTAACATTTTAATTCATGATTTTTTATGTAATAATACTTGAGTCTGTTACCTATACATGTTTTGTCTCTACTGACTAAATGCCATGATAGAGTATTGTGTGGAAGGTTTAGTAGATTCATGCAAAATCAACAAAAATTATAATCAAATGCGGTCTGGATTTGTATTACCATTACTCAGAGGTTTTTTCTCGGTATCTTTGTCATTTTTATTTTAAAAACCCACTGTATGTGATTTTGCTACTGATTATTATGCCCATAAATTTGGCAATAATAAAACATTTTTAAAGACCAGTTATCTGTCTAAAACATGTCCTACTTTACAATTTTTGTCATGGTTTTATCTAAAATTTTACTTTAAAAATTGCGTTAACAGGATAAAAAAGCTCAATCAACATTCTGTTATGAACACAGAAAATGTGTATTAGACAGAAAAACCACATGTATGTCCATACTAACTTTTAAGACTACAACAATTAAAAAATAATAAAAATTTAATTTTGTGACTAATTTTTAAAAGGAACACTTTAAATCTGCCTTAAAATTAACGAGTAGACATAGCCATTTATTTTATAAAATAAGAATTTTTTGGTAATTCAGAACGCATTGTAGTCTAAGCAGTGTTAAGTAGGCTCTTAACAATTTTAATGAAATATCTCAAATAGATTTTGAGATAAATGTTCCTAATCAGAGCTATCTTGAGAAAAAGTGACATTTTAAGAAAATGTGTGAGGTTTTTTGCTTGGCAATTTCATTCAGAACTTAATTCAGTAAATAAAAGGTTAAGGGTACCTATCTATGTTCATAAAAAAGTCAAGAATGTTAACCAGTCTGTATATTAATTTATTGTTTGTTTGTGTTGGTATCACTTGATCAGAACATCTACATTCTGTGTATATGCAAAGAAAAATTCATAAAATTTACATATTCTAATGTTAAAACACATTTAATTTAACATTAACAAATAACTATGTTTAAATTTTGCCTCATTCTTCCAAGAGTTCCTCACAATGAATTATTTTGTTTCAGCTATTACTTTATTATACATTTATTTGTAATTTTATTAAGTCCCAACATTATCAGTTTTCATTTGAATACGACATAATTTTCCAATTAGAGAAAATTTACTGATTAATTATTTTTGTCCATCATTCTTTCAATGAAAATTTCATTTGCAAACCAGGGCGGTCAAACAGGGAAACCTTGATAATTCTTTTTCAAACAATAAAAAAAACTTGTTTTAAATTTTTAAAAAATCTAGGTTCTAGTGAGATGATTAATTTTCATTAGGATCTGTTTTCAGGAGACTAAAACAGTCAGGTTTTTTAATGTATTTTCAATTGGATGATCTTGACAAATCTTCTAAGATTTTCTAATTAAAAAATATGATGAATTTATCTAAGGATTTAACTAGAACAAAGAACCGGCATAGAAAAAGTAGATCTAATCATTTAAAAACAAAAACAATAAAAACACAATGAAAATTGTTATCTATACTATTTTAGGCATAAAATCTTTTGCTTAAATTCTTGCTTCTTAACAGTGAAATAGATTAAAATACAATGTAATTAAAATTAAAAAGTATGTAATATTTGGCAAAATTTTATGATTAAGCATCGTAATTTAAGCCAAGTTTTGAGATCTTGACATGTGCCATCTTAGCCAATATTAGTGTGCTTTCTGTCAAACCTGTCAAGGTTTGTGTTCAGTACCCATGCAGTTATTGATTATATTTTTAAAAAAACTTCCCACATAGATAGTCCGCAGTGGAAAATCATAATCCATACCAAGGGGTGTAGTTCATTGTTATTATTTCTATTTAAGATTAACTGATTTATTTGTTATTCCTATGAGGTTTGAGCTTATAAACTCTTTTTAGATAAAAATTTGTTTGTAAAAGAAGAAAACATGTAGGCTGAAGTGTGACATTTTTTTAGATGTGTTTACATCCAAGGCCAAAAATATTATTGATTTTATTTAGGTTATTTATCATATCGAAAGTCTCTGCAGTAGTGAAACAGGGCTCCTGAGAGTTCCCCACTATGTCCCTGACACCTGGGCGGTCACAGAAATGTGTTCTACCTCACTATAACGGAGAGTTATTACACTGGGGAGTACTGGGCTCTAGTGTGGGCAAACTTGTTCTATGACAAAGAAATCTTGCACAGGCATTGTTTTATAAAACAAGGTCACACGCCTAAGAATTTCAGGATTGGTAATGCATTGGAGCCTGTTAAAATATTGAATAGATTTCCTTCTGAGACCACCGTAATGCGCTGGATGGGCGAATTAATATATATATATTTAATTCAAGTACGTTTGTTGGGGTTTCTTTTTGGCTTTGTATTTTATGTATTACTCATTACTACACCTTTTATCTGATCTGAATGAAACTAGTAATTGTTGAGAATACTACTGGGTGAGATTTTCTCTGGACGGTATATAAAAATTATGTTTTGACACCGTTTTTCCTAGTACCATGAATCTTTGAGGGACTGATGAGGATTCTTATGAGTTTTCTGAGAAAAAAATTAAAATTTCTAAATAAGGTGTCCAGGAAGGTTTGAGTTTTCTAATTATATATGGTTTGCTGCTTAGAGTTAAAGAGTGGCTATCTTAGCACTTGGTATCTCAGTCTGCATAGCGAGTAAAGGGTACTACTGGATTCAGCTGCAACAGATACAGCTGCAGGCGCTCCAGCGATTGAGCAACTCCAAGCCCCAGGGCTCCCCTGTGAGTGCTACAGCGCCTTCATTCATTTTAAACAGTGCAATAGAGTATAGATAACTTTACCCTAAATTATATCGGATGCATCTGCTGGTGCCCCAAGTGTGCGATTTGGTGCCCTGGGCTATCCTGTGAGCACTATGGTGCCTACGTTTGTTTTTAAGAAACATTCATCATAATCCTTACAATATTGACACGGTGGCACACGACATTCTATGATTATATCGAGCCAGGGTCACGTCCAACTTTCTTCTAGATCGTAGCAACGAGCAGGACAGGCATGCTAGTTAAACATAAATATATAAATTTTATAAACTTATGAAGAAAGCAATCAGAATGAATCATCCCCTGTAATCAAAATCACAGGAGCATAGTCAATTTCTTTAAAATAATTCTTAGTATGAGTAATGATTGTTTTTTTAAAAGTTAACACTATTACTGAAAATCTACTCTTTGTTTATAGCGGTTGTTAGCACAATTGTTAGTAGAATATAGATCTACATGGTGTTTAGTAAATCAAACTCTCAAATAAAATTTTAAATATAAGATTAAACCTGACTGTTTTAGTTACATTATTTAAGTTAGGTCAGGTTAGGTTTGCCTGTCGCCCCTCTTGGGACATAGGCCGCTGACAAGAGCTTTCCAGGCGCCTCTGTCCTGGGCTAGTCTCTCCAACTGTCCCCAGGTGTATCCAATCTTCTTGGTGCCTTCTTCCAGGTCACGTCTCCAGGTCTTTCTTGGTCTGTCTCTCCTCCTCCTGCAATAAGTACTGGTATTTAAATTACATATTGAGAAGTTAATCTAGTGAACGTGCCATAAATCTGAGAAGATGATACAATGAATTTGCTCTTCCTTTACCATACCTGGTAGGCCTACATATGGAGAATATTGTTTATTGTGTTTATTTCTACTCATTTGTTTATAACCACTATTGTTTTTTTTTTTAAATTTTCAGTTCAACTTCTTCCTGAATTTTAATTTAGATTTTTACTTGTGCATCATTCAGGTGGAGCTTGGGTGTTTGAATTTGCCTTGAAGTTTTATCCTCCAGATCCTACTCACTTGAGAGAGAGTCTTACAAGGTTTTTGTTTTATTAATACTAACAAAACTATTAAATACTTTAATTTAAACTAAATTGGAGCCTAGGTGACCAACATATTTGTATAACAAAGTAGTTTTGTAAATCAAAAGGCAAATGCTCAAACCGTATATCATTAATGTAATGTTAAGCCTGCCCAGTGTCCCGCCAACTCAGACATGTTTTTGTCTCTTCTTCTTCTTCGTTCTTCATTTTAGTGTTGGAAGGGATCCCCCTCCAGCACAATTAAGGATACTTGTCAACTGGTTATGTGTCATTAAGGCAGACAGAAAATTAGTTTTATAATGCGTTAAACTTTTGAATGGGCAACAAAATCTTTGCTGTTATAAAAAGTAAATAAATCATGTGATGTCACTATAAGTAAAGGCATTGTTCTGAACTTTATAATTTAAGTGGCATTTCTACCAAGGGGTCATCCATAAATGACATCACGTTTTTTTTTACGATTTTTACCCCCCAATGTCGTCACACCTCTGCCTACAACCCCCGCTCAAAATTGCAGATAAATTTTTCTTAAAACATCGATATTTTTCCAAAATCTTGTCTGAACTCTGTCAACATAGAGTATTTTAATCAACGAACCGACCCGCAGCGTATCATACGCCGCTATTTAGTTGTTTTATTTTCTACTTTTCAGTAATTCATAATTTGTGAATTCGACAGTACCAATGCTGCCACTGAAAATATTTGCTTTAAAACACTAAACCCCCATTCCCCCCCCCCCCCCCCCCCCGGAAAGCAGCCACCTCTTAGTTACCTCCTCTAAGTTTAAAATAGTTTCAAACTGAATTATCTGCCCCTAATAGCCGTCACCAAACCCGACTCTACGATTGTTTTGTAAACATTTAGCGTGAACTACAACTCACCTGACCATGTGAGGGGGGTGGGGGTGGTAGCGATAGAGAGGAAGAGAGGGGACTGCAAGGCGCGCGCTTGCAGCTTGTTTTCTAACGGCTCCCAGAAGAGAATTATATATATAGATTCCTATTACAATGTATTACAACAGTTTTCTAAAACGCAAAATAAAGGCTAAAAATTGTTTTTAAGAAAAACTTTTTTTTAATGCAAAAGTGGTACATCACACCATTTGACCCTGTGACTGAGCTGCTTTCATTTTTTTAATCTAAAGTCTAGAAATAGTTCAACAGACTTTCCTTCATGTCTCAGCTTACAGACATGGAATATGTATATGCTTTTCCATAATCTAATATATAAAGCTCAAACTGATTTCTGTGCTCTGTGGCAGACAGCGGGCAGACAAACTGTGGGAACACATAAAAAACTAAAAAAACTCGACTTGATCGCCATAGTGTAATATTCTTAAACAATATTTTTTTCTTTTTCCTTTTTATTCTTAAAGAACATTACACTTTTTATTTAGATTATAAATAAATGATTAAAAAAAATTAATACGGATTATATTTTTTTTAAAAAATTCCATTTTCCAAACGAATCATTTTAAATAACGGCATGTAGAACAAAGACAAAGAAAATGTATCATCCTTCACAAAAATTAAAAGAGTACAAATTACTTCCCACTATAGATCACTAAAAAATGACTTCCCTTTAAAAAAAACATTACATCGGGGAGAAAAATACTTTTTATTAGTTTGTTTTGGTGTTCGAAAAAAATTATATAGTTAGCATGGTAGGTAGAACACCGATAAATACTGCCTTTTATTAATTTTATACACTGATCGTACTGTTTCCTAATTATTATTTTTAATCAGTAACAGTTTAGTAGCCGCTCCTAAATTTCCTCTATGTTTACTTTTATCTTTCACATTGCGGACAAGCTGGGGGTATTATAGTCGTTCACTAAATTGAGTCAGGCACATCCGCTGGCTATCCTGTACATATGTTCGTTTTAAACAGTGCAATAGACTATGGATAAGAAAGGTTACTATAGTCCTTAACTAAATTGAATCTAGGCGTCCTGCGGCACCCCAGTAGGGTGCTATTTGACGCCCGGGCCTTTCTGTGAACGCTGTGGCGCCTACATTCGATTTAGTATTATAGTCGTTTACTAAGTTCAATCAGGTAGGGTGCGATTTGTTGCCCTGTGCTATCATGTGAGCACTATGTGTTTATGTTTGCATTTAAATTTGTTTTGTTTTTTTGGCATTATCGTTTGTGTTTAGGTTTGTATTTGTGTTTTGTTTGTGTCTACATTTATGTTTGTGTTTGCGATTTTCTTTGCTTTTGGGTTTTGGTTTGTGTTTGGGTTTGTTTTTGTTTGCTTTTTGGTTTGGGTTTGTGTTTTTGTTTGTGTTTACATTATGTTTGCGTTTCTGTTTTGGTTTTTGTTGGTTGTGGTTAGGGTTAAGTTTAAAGTTAGAGTTGGGTTTAGGATTATGTGATCTTTAATCAAACGTCCATGCCGGGTATATGCTGCTTAATAAACACACAAGTCATGGTCCTCTACTGATAGGCTTTTCACAGAGGCCAGTACGTGGCCTGTCTATGATGGCTAGTTATAATATAATAAGCTTTGCTCTAAGTAAAACCATGAAGACAGAACTAAATATAGATATTAAGCTTTTAAATTCACTAAAATAGAGGAAAGAATGTTATTAATGCTGTGTTATGATAGGATTTTGTTTTGCTTTATCACTTGTTTGTATTTTATATTGCAGGTGGCTAGTTGTCCTTCAGATTCGAAGAGATTTGTTAAGTGGAAGGTAACTATACATTCTTTAAGAAAAACTTTCATTAATAATTCAATAACATGTATTTTTCTGTTTAAATTGCACTACTAATAAATTGCTTAGTTATACAGACTTTTACTTTTGAAATCTAAAATGTCAAACCAAAAGATGAGCAGCACATCAACTTTTTTGTATTGAAATGTCACATTAAGTTCATAACACCTTTTTGTTTCTTTAATTGCTTAAAAATTAAAGCATTTCTTTAAATCAATATACTTGCCTAGGTATTGTGATTTTACTGAGAATTTTCATTGCAAATGTTATTAAGGCCAGACACCAAACGTTTTCGACAGTTTACATTTTTTTTTCTGCTAGTATTGGTTTAACACTAATTCTGATAGTAACACCATTTAGCTATCTAATTGGAAAACTATTAAATACTGTGTATTAGGTTTAATTTCATACTAAACTGAAACAATGCGTAATGAACATTCCTGTACTGTAAGTTTGAAGAATGAACGATGGCCCATCCCCGACTTTCTCCTGCTTGAAAGTCAACCAACCGTCAGTTTATAGTCTTGTAGCATAATTTTATGGTGGGCTTGAGCTGGTACATCAGACTTTACACCGGACTGTAAACAACACATGTTTTAATGTGTAAGCCCTTTGTTCCATGTAGGTTTTACTAACACTGATGTTGAATGAACATATGTAATTTATGGCTCATTGGACCCTCATGCATCATGACCACCAGTCCAGGGAGGGGGGGGGGGGGGTGGCCAGCCTCAAGCACTAAACACAAGAATGGATGGTAGGCTGTTATCAAGAGTCAAAATAGACTTGTGTAAGTTAAAATTTTGAGTTGTTTTGAAGTGAGAACACAGGCTAACAAACAGAACTTAATCTGGTCAGTTAATAGCTAACATATAATAGTCATTATCGCATTTCTTCTTGTATACATTGTTTCTGCTTATATAAAAAAACTCTAAACTCTGAAACTTTCAACTAAAATCATGTATTTTATTAGTTAAATGGCTCTTCCACATAAAACAAGACATCTTTTATTGTTTCCTGTAAGAGGAACCGTACAGTGCCATTTTCTATCCTTCTTATCAAGTTTTCACATCTTTGCATTTTTACGCTAAATACAAAATTGAAATCGCTAAGGCTCTGTAGCCCATTGTCATACAAGACTATATTTCCACATGCATTCAGCTTTATAACTTCTGCAATACTACTTTTGTACATTAAGTTTACTTCAATACTTTAGGAAATATTGGTATTTATTTAGCACTACCTCTCATTTTTGTTCATTGTTGTACGTAAAAATTTGTATTAAAATTTTAATTCTATCTATCACAATGAAAAAGCTTAGAAATCCAAAGCTAAGAGGGTGGGGTGCAGTTGTTGGCTGAAGTATGATGTCATTTTAAGGGGAGTCTTGACTTTTTGAGAGTGAGTGGGGGGGGGGGGGGTAAAAATAGTCAAAGAAGCATCATTTATGGATGACCCCTATCTACAGCTTTTCCAAAACCAGGCATAGCTATCATAATGGCTAATTCAGTTCAAGTATTAATTGCAAAACACTTTTTTATAATAAATATCCTACCCCCTCAAATTCCAGTTAATCTGGTTGATTTTATTCACATAAACTAAGACTTTCAAATGACAATTAATCTAAATCTAGGCTCTTTACAGTTTAAGACTTAACATTTTTACCACTGCCATCTTTAACCCTTTGAACCCTTAGCTCCTGAACCTAAAATCATCATGCCCCTGAGCTCCAGAGTTAAATGTACACAACAGACTCAAAAAAAAATAGGAATATTACAAGATTAATTTTATTATTTCAGTTAATATTTGCACATAAATTATCGCAAGTATTTTGACTTAGTAGTAGACAGTGTAGGTAGACCCTTCTTTTAGACATCCGTAGAATGCAGGTTTTGGAATTTTAAAATATTCTTTCGTAAATTGAAAATGATAACATGGTTCATGGATGCAGCCATGACAGGAATACCAGTTACATACTTTTTAAATATTTTAAGTACCAATCTGGGGTAAGGTGTCTAATTCTGCTTTATCGGTACTTCTGGGCATGGATATATTATAAGGTTCAGACTGTAAAGCAGTACTGCAGGGTCAAAGGGTTAAGTATAGAAAGTATAATTTAAATTTGAAAACTAGATCATTACAGTTTAAGTTAGCTTACATTGTAAAATGTTTTTTTTTTTTCAGAGTTGTTTATAAGGGAAACATTAAATTGCATGTAGACAGGACTTAAGATTGTTATCCAAAAAAAATATTTCCATTTTTTGCATGGTCTGGTCACATCCCTGTCATTACATCTTACATCTCAATTGCAAAAAATTAATTACAAAATGTATGATTGCTAACAGAAAAAAAAAACCAAGTAAACTTACAATTTTTATGATATGAGACAGGTTGAAGTGAAAGTTCTAAAACAATATGCATGACGTTTACAAGCAAATGGTAACTTGATTTTAACATTTCTTTATAGGTTGCCTTGTACTTTTACAACTTATGCCTTGTTAGGATCTTACAATGTGCAGGCAGACATTGGTGAATTTGACCCAAATGATCATGGTCATTCTTGGGATTATATAAAAGATATGAGCTTTGCCCCAAACCAAACTCCTGACTTGCTTGAAAAAATTGCTGAACTTCATAAACAGCACAAGTATGTTATTGTTTTATTTTTATTTTTTTGTATTTTTATTTAGTCTAATTATAATTGTTTTCAGCATATTTCTTTTTTAACTTTTGTTGTTCTGTATTTTTGTCTGTTTGAGGCTATATTTTAGCTCAATTTTGCCCCACTTCTAATCTAGCAGTGTTCCAGATACTTTTGTATTTAGCACTAGCAATCGAACATTTAGCACTTTAACTGTTAACTGTTTTCACAAATGAGAGCCTACATCGTACAATAAAAATGGTCAGATAGACTTTTAGAGTTATTTTCAAGTCACTGATTGGCTTTTAAAGCAAATATTTGTTGTTATATGTGGTATCATTCAAACAGAATGTAAACAAAATCCTTTATAATAACAAGCTTTTAAATGCACTGAAAATAAGAAAACAAACTAACTCATATTCTTCAATAAAAGCTTTGGTTGCAAAAAAAAAATATTAGATCTCTCATACACCACCAAAAGTAAAGAACCTTTTATGAACCTGATGACCATGGGTAAGTGTAAGTAGATTTCACTTGTTTCTGTGACTTCTGCATATAGTGTGGTCAGCACAGTGCGTAGCTGCCTTTAGTTTCCCTAAGATGGGTCGACGTTTTACTTACTTGAACATGGATTTGAACTTTGTAAAAGTACTGTCAGTTAAAATTTTTAAAAAATCAAATGCGCCCAACTAAAGAAAGCAAGTTGGTTTATTATTTTATTTTTAATTTATATATACTAAAGGTTTTAATCTATAAAAACTTAAGAAGCTATCAAAGGTTTGTATTCATTAAACTTCAGGGGCCAGACACCAGATGAGGCAGAGAAAGGCTTTCTGGATAATGCAAAAAAACTGGCGATGTATGGAGTGGATCTTCACAAAGCAAAAGATTCAGAAAATAATGCTATTATGATCGGAGTGTGCTGTAGTGGTATTCTAATTTATCAAGACAAACTCCGAATAAATAGATTTGTCTGGCCTAAAATTCTTAAGCTGTCATATAAAAGGAACCATTTTTATATTAAAATCAGACCTGGAGAGGTAAGAATATTAAATACTACTTTGAAGATTTTAGGTAAACACTAAACATTATTTCTTGGCTTATTCATAAGGTTGCAGATACTTTATTTTTAATTTATATCTTTTTATGTTATTAATGATTTATGAATACTGAAAAATGTACAGATAAAACTGCTTTGCCCAATATTATTTATAATTGAATAGCAGCACTGTCTAGGAAGTATAAAAATATGGAAAAAGTATGAATAATATTGAAAGTTACAGATAATATCCAATTATTACAGACATTTTTGTTTAGCGTATGCATACGCTATGAGCAATATTACGCCCATGTTTGTTTCAAAGAGCGCCCTATGGATATGGTTGGCTACTGTAATCATTAACCAATCGATCCTCTGTCACTGCTGTAGTACTGAATTATTGGACGACCAGAGTTCCCTGTAGCTATCTTTGAACCTGGGGCCCACTGATTAGGAATCCTGCACAGTGGGTCTTGGGTTGTACTCTATTCAACTGTCAAACTGCAACAGGAGTGGCCTCCAGCTCCCCAGTAAACAAGTTACCCGGAGTGCCCTGGGCTCCCAAATGAACACTGTAGTGTCTACATTTGTTTTAAAGAGCACCTTACATAGACCACTACGTTCGACAACTTAGATAGTCCAAGTTGAAATTGACTATAGATTGTAGATATCTCCTGATATAACTTTTAAAAAATATATATGACTAAAAGCAATTGTTTAAAAACTTATTTTCAAAAATTGCTGTTTTTGAGAACCAACATTTTCTATATATAAAAAATAACATAGTAGTAGTAGAGCAGAAATTGGTATAAAGCTCCAAAGATTGTAATGTTTGTGCCCATTGTTTTTCAACTAACATTAATCTTTCTAAAGAAAAAAATAAATTCATCTCTTTTCTTTACCCCTACCCCCAAATAAACAGTATAAAATATGATATATTTGTATATTGAAAAGATATGGAAAGTGTACTGTGGTAGGACATGGACAGTACCATGATAGGACATACAGCCTGCTTTTCTAGGGCTTGGACTACAGAGCAAATACTACTGATGATCTCTAAAAAATCTCGACATGTGGGTTAAGCAGTATATACACTGCATTGCCTGAGTTTAGGAAATATATTATTTTTCCAATTAAATGCCTATATTCAAATATAGATGTTTGAGAAAATAAAAAATAACCCTAAACCTAACTCCAACTTTAATTAAACTTAACCCTAATCGAAACACAAACGCAACAGAAACACATATGCAAACAAACAGCCTTACTGTTTATGCAACCGTTATAAAATGTTGAGTCACTTTGGTGGGTTGTAGATCGCAGCGACATACAAACTTAGATGGAATTATGATTAATTTTTTAGCCATTTCAACAAACCATTTTCTATTAATTTTGACATAATTAGATTAAAAATTAATTATTTTAAAGAGAAATAAATTCATAAGTAAACCGTTAAAATTACTACTGGTAGGTTTGAGCAAGCTTGGTTTTAAAATATTTGATAGATTATGTTTTGAAGGTTGCCTACTCCTGCATTGAGTGTAGATTTTCTTTCAAAAAAGTATATAAAGTTTAAAAAATTTTTTTGCAATTAAAAGGCTGTTATCTAATGATTACGTGTTTTTTTTTTTTTAAAAAGTTTAACATTGTTCTCTAATTTTTATTTCAATCATACATGTTTCATCTATTGTACTTTAGATGGAAAGAAATGAGGCAACAATCATGTTCAAACTGGATAACCACAGATTGGCCAAACGTTTATGGAAAACCTGTGTAGAGCATCATGCTTTCTTTAGGTAATTACATTTTTTGTTAAAATAGTTTTTTTTTCTCTTTAAAACATTGTTAAAAATTGATCTATTTCTACTAATTAAGAGATTATCTATTTTGAAAGGTGAATAAATATGCTCATTAATATTTTAATTAGAATTAACACCATAGAATGAAGTTGAAGAGCATACTTTTTAAAATTACTAATCCTAATTTTATCACAGTTTTGATGCATTCTAATTGTTCGCTTCTTATAATCTTTTGATGTTAACTTAAGGTTAAGAGAGGCAGAAAAGCCAGCCAACAATGTATCCTTTCCACGATTTGGCTCCAAATTTCGATATTCAGGGCGTACACTCTATCAAACAAGACAAAATGCTGCTCTGTTGGATAGACCACCACCATTTTTTGAGCGTTCTCAACCAGCAAGGAACACAATGCATGACACTGGCAATCGTTCCCAAAGCATGGATGAGCGTAAGTTTTAGTTTTCCAATTCTTTAGAGAAGCATACATTTCATTATCTGGAGTTATATTATATTGCTTTCCACTATAGAGACAAAAAAGTAATTTTTAAATTTTAGTGGGAAAACATAGCAGAGATGGATTTGATGGTGAAACATTCTTTGCTCCATACAAAAGATCTAGCAATGATATGGAATCAAAGAAAATGTGGGGTGATGACAGATTGGACAAAAAAAGTGTACCAATTGGTATAATTAATATTGTACTCTTATTGTAATTTTGGCGTTAGTCAACGAACACCAGCTGTTTCTTTTTTGTTTGTTTTTGCATTCGTTTATTATTAAAATAGTTATGTGGCAAAATAACAGATTTCTCTTCTACTATTTAAGCCACTGTTCACATGTTTTTTCCAATCTAATAACTAATAAATTTGATGTCGTGCAAGTTAAGTTTTTTCGTTTCAATATTTTTATATTGAAAATATCACCTTCATATTAGAATTGTAGGAATAAAGTCACAGGAAAAAAAACATACTGGAAAAAAAAACGGAAAAAAAGTCACAGGAAAAAGGCACAAATGTATATTTGCATGGAATTTGTTGATACTTATATGTATTATGGAAACCAACTTTTGATTCATGCCGTTTTACATATAATGTTTATTAGAATTTAAAATAATGTTCAAGCCTTTTGGGTTTCAATCACGTAGTTAAATACAAACTTAAAATTAGCGTAAAATGGCATAAAGAAGTAGATAATGTGACCCTCAACTCATCGCAACTATAGGTCAACAACCTGTATTGCCCACATTTATCACGCTCATTACATAACAAAGCAAAGGACCAAAACTGAAAGCCGAAAAAGTGTACATGCTGTCATTGACGCAAAATGTCAACACACAATATGGATGGACAAAGCCAACTGAGGAGATGCCAACCAAGATAAGGCCTACGGCAAAAACGTTAGCAAACACAATGCTGAGCCTAAATTTATTTTATTATAAATTTCCACCTTGTATTTAACTAAATACTTAGCAAAAGTTGAGGCTGCTATGTACATTGTCTTACTGTATTTTAATTTATTATTGTTATAAACTATAATGCTTTTAAAGTTTACAAATAGGCTACTGAAGAAATTACCGCACACATTAACAAACACCCAAAATTTACAATTATCAACAATTAAATAAAAATATTTCTTAAAAGATTTTTGGAACTTTTTTCTGTGACTTTTTTTTCTTTTTTTTTCCTGTGACTTTTTTTTCCTTTCACCCATATTAGTACCCAGCTGACCACACTTTTTTTGCAGTCTTTTCTTATTTATTTTTGTTGGACACTAATAAATATTTATCCATGTTTCATTTAAGTATTACCAAAGTGACATTGAAACAAATTAAATGAAACTAGACAAATTTAGGCTTCAAGAGCTTATGAGTGACTGATAATGCATGAATAATACTTGTCTTTTGCATTGTGTATGTGATATTTGTATATATGTAAATATGTAAATATATATATATGTATATATATATGTGTATATATATATGTATGTATATATATATGTATATATAATATATATATATAATATATATATATATATATATATATGTAGATATATATATATATATGAAGATATATATATATATATATGTAGATATATATATATATATATATGTAGATATATGTAGATATATATGTAGATATATATATATATATGTAGATATATATATATATATATGTAGATATATATATATATATATATATATATGTAGATATATATATATATATATATGTATATGTAGATATATATATATATATATATGTAGATATATATGTAGATATATATATATATATATATATATATATATATATATATATATAGATATATGTAGATATATAGATATATGTAGATATATATATATATATGTAGATATATATATATATATGTAGATATATATATATATATGTAGATATATATATATATATATATGTAGATATATATATATATATATATATATGTAGATATATATATATATATAAGTAGATATATATATATATATGTAGATATATATATATATGTAGATATATATATATATATGTAGATATATATATATATATGTAGATATATATATATATATATATATATGTAGATATATATATATATATGTATATATGTAGATATATATATATATATGTATATATGTAGATATATATATATATATGTATATATGTAGATATATATATATATATGTATATATGTAGATATATATATATATATGTATATATGTAGATATATATATATATATGTATATATGTAGATATATATATATATATGTATATATGTAGATATATATATATATATATATGTAGATATATATATATGTATATAATGTATGTATATGTTACGGTCAAAGTCGGCCAAAGTCCGCATTGCCGACCAATGCTCGCATTGGTCAATATTGCCTCCCATTGACCGGTCAAAGTCAGAAACATAACTTGATTTCGGCCTTTGGCCGGCCAGTCCGCAGACTAGATCAGAAGATCATTTTTTTAGGGACGACCGGCCATAGTCAGAATTAGAAGATCATGAGCAAATTTAGTTTTTTTTTTTATACTGTAA